TCGTGTTTTCTAGGTTGCTACTCTTATAGCTGTTTACGCCAACTGGGGTTTCGCAAGAATTAAAGGCTGTGGCTGGGGATGGGCCGGAGTTATCTGGATTTACAGTGTCGTATTTTATTTCCCACTCGATTTGATGAAGTTCGCTATTCGTTACATATTGAGTGGAAAGGCGTGGCAAAACTTATACGACAACAAGGTACGCGTACGCATCCATATTTTTTATTTTTTTTTTCCCTCCGTTAAATGCATTTTCTGCTACATTTATTATATTTTTTCGTTACATGTATGCAAATTTGATTCGATTCTATCTTCCCGAATCAAGACTGCTTTCACCACCAAGAAAGATTACGGGAAAGAGGAGAGAGAAGCCCAATGGGCGCACGCTCAACGAACTTTGCACGGCCTGCAAACACCGCAAGATAGTAACCTCTTCAACGAGAAGAGCAGTTACCGTGAATTGTCTGAAATTGCAGAACAGGCCAAGAGGAGGGCTGAGATTGCAAGGTAATTTTTATTTATTTATTTCTTTTTTTGCCTATTGGATTGTTTAAGAGCTAAAATGCAAGTGTACCGTAATGTGTATAGGCTTCGTGAGCTTCATACACTCAAGGGACATGTAGAATCGGTTGTGAAGCTAAAGGGGCTCGACATCGAGACAATCCAGCAGCACTACACAGTTTGAAGAAGCAAAATATAAAATCCTTTTGGTCAACTGTGAAAGTGAGAAAAAAATGATTTAGAGAGAGCATAAAGAGTGTGCCTTTTGAACATAACTGATGATCCTAACAGGATGAAAGGCAGTAATGTGGGTATAATTTCCCTAAATCTTGTTTATTTTGTTTCTTTATCTTTTTTTTTCCTAATGCATATGAAAAGCAGCAACCCCTTTGGAAAGGGACCTTTGTCTAATCCTTGGCTATTTTATATGATGAGTACAATGGCATTTACTTTGTAACAACAGTCCTTTGTTGGGGACTCAAAATCTTTTATTTTTCCATGGTTTTAGTTTATGTGCTTTCATTTCTTCTTTTAGTGCTCTATCTCTTGATGTGAGTAGCATGAGTAGTAGTAACCATCGGTTTGGACTGATGAAAAAACAGACACGATAAACGAGCTCAAGTTATTACAATCGATGAGATCTTGATTATGAGATAAAGTTGCTATTACAATCGATGAGATCTCGGTTATTAGTACAAAGAAGGGACAGCAGATATTACATGCCAATCCTTATATTCTCCTCAATAGAGCACAACACATATAAGCCAGACAAAGTTCTCTTACAAAAACCCAGTATTTGTATTGCAGTATACAAATTACAAAATAAACTAACTTTTAGTCACAATTATCCTTACACTTACAGATCTCTGACCCCAAAAGGGCCAAAGCAATATATATATATATATATATATATATTTTTTTTTTT